ATGTCATAGATGGCCTCATTGTCGACCATGAAGGCACAATCAGAGTGCTCCAGGGTGGTGTGGGTGGTGAGGATGGAGTTGTAGGGCTCAACTACAGCTGTGGAAACCTGGGGCGCCGGGTAGATGGAGAACTCCAGCTTGGACTTCTTGCCATAATCAACTGAGAGCCGTTCCATGAGCAGGGAGGTGAACCCAGAACCAGTTCCCCCACCAAAGCTGTGGAAAACCAAGAAGCCCTGGAGACCGGTGCACTGGTCAGCCTGCAAAATAAAGTTTTCATTTTAGTGTTGCAAGACATTTGGTGAAACCTGCAGAGGACTTCTATAAATCCATGGCTACACCAATTGCAATTTTAAAACTCTTCTGGGCCAGGCGCAGTGGCTCATGCCTGTAATCACAACACTTTGAGAGTCCAAGGTGGGAGGACCATTAAAGCCCAGGGGTTCAAGACTGATGACCATGCCACGGCACTCCAGCCTGGATGACAGAGCAGACCCTGTCTCAAAAAAAGCTGCTAAGTGGGCCGGGCGTGGTGGCTCAAGCCTGTAATCCCAGCACTTTGGGAGGCCGAGGCAGGTGGATCACAAGGTCAAGAGATCGAGACCATCCTGGTCAACATGGTGAAACCCCGTCTCTACTAAAAATACAAAAAATTAGCTGGGCATGGTGGCGCATGCCTGTAATCCCAGCTACTCAGGAGGCTGAGTGAGGCAGGAGAATTGCCTGAACCCAGGAGGAGGAGGTTGCGGTGAGCCGAGATCGCGCCATTGCACTCCAGCCTGGGTAACATGAGCGAAACTCCGTCTCAAAAAAAAAAAAAAAAAAAAGCTGCTAAGTGATTCACAGCAACTATTCAGTCAAGTCCTTGAGGGGAAAGCCTCTGCTAAAAAGACTATTTTAAGATGAACTATTTCCTCGGGCAGAAGAATCACAAGGTCTGGACTTGCATATAGGCCTCAAGCTTTGGTAACTGTGAGAGCAGCTTCTGGTTCCCTTGCTGTGGCCACAGAACAGGGCAGCTTGTTATCGGCTGGAAAGCTCCCAAGGGACAGGCCCAGGACCACCAGCCCAGTCCAGGGGATGCTTTATAAAGAGCTGGCAGCTGCTCTCTGAGGTGGAACAACAGAATAGCCAATTTCTAACATGCTGGTACTGGAATCAGGGCTGGGTCTGGATCCAGCTGTACCAGTTCCTTACTGTATGATCACATTCATTTCTCAGTTCTCCCATTGATTAAATAAGAATAGTAGTTAGCACTTGGCACAGTTTAAGTACCCAGTATATGATACTAGGCACCAAGAAGCCTATTCATTTTGGGTCAAGTGACACAATCACAATTCCATGAGACCTCATATTTGGCAATTTCTTCCACCTAACTGGGCTATTTTGGCTAGCAAACTGCTACTTTATGAAGGGATAAGTTTGACCTTTCAAATAAAGTATTCTGTAGTCAACTCTTGCTTCTCCAAGTTATGGGCCTCGGATTTGTGAACATTCCCTACTCAGCTCCCTTATAGCATGGGGGTCCATAAACTACATGAGATCAATGCACAGGGCAGACCCTAGCCTACCAATTACACCTGTTACACCTCCTGTAAACACAGTAAGGCCAAGGACAAATGCAATTGTCTTGGTAGGCAATGAACTTCACTCCAGAATCCTACATAGCTACTAGGTTTATTAATTTGTCCCTAAAGGCAGGTCCTGATTTCCAAGTCAGTGCTTATAACTACAGCTTAGTTTCTAAGCATAGGAAACATCAGTCCAGTTTTGTGTGAAGACTACATAAACATCTGAGGAAAGTATGAAGCCATGAATGATGAGGCCTTTCTTTTTTAGAATGGACGAGTTGTGGCTGGGTTTTTAGTAAAATGTGATTTTCTTGACAAGTTACTCTGCCCAGGCTTGATCTCTGGTTAATTACTTACAAGCTGCCCACATGCCTAAGGAGCAAAAGAGTCGATTGCCAAGCTCTTAATTAACATGATCCAAACAGCACACTTCAGAAGGAAGCTCCTAACTCCACTTTCAGCTGTGCTGGAAGTTCCCAGTGTTGGCTGTTTCTTGTCAGCGTGACACTGGCTTTCTTGTTCTCTAAACATTATTAACATGAAGGAACCAGCCCAGATTTTTTAAAATGACTGATCAATTCATTATAAGTAGGAATTAGCCACCTACTCAGTAGCTTAAAGCAAAACAGGCTAAAGAGCACTCACTCCCTACCCCATAGTTGTCCCATAAACCTAGGACCATCTGGTTAGAAATCCAATTAGTTTAGCAAGGAGTTGCATTTTAGCTGCAAAGAATGATTCTTGTAGTTTGGTCTCAGAACTGCAAAAGAAACTCTCGCCCCATTTTAAAGTACTATAGTTACCAGCTTGCGAATTCGGTCCAACACAAGGTCAATGATCTCCTTGCCAATGGTGTAGTGCCCTCGGGCATAGTTATTGGCAGCATCTTCCTTGCCTGTGATAAGCTGCTCCGGGTGGAAGAGCTGGCGGTAGGTGCCAGTGCGAACTTCATCTGGAGAAGGAGGGAGAGAAAGACAGAGGGACTGGGTGAGTGAGTGACCAGCAGAGCCCCCAGGACAGACCTCCTGTCCCAGCACCCTGGGATCTCACTTGGGTTACTGAGGCCAACTCACCAATGACCGTGGGTTCCAGGTCTACAAACACTGCCCGGGGCACGTGCTTGCCAGCGCCCGTCTCACTGAAGAAGGTGTTGAAGGAGTCATCTCCTCCCCCAATGGTCTTGTCACTGGGCATCTGACCATCGGGCTGGATGCCATGTTCCAGGCAATAGAGCTCCCAGCAGGCATTGCCGATCTGGACACCAGCCTGGCCAACGTGGATGGAGATGCACTCACGCTATGGGAAGGAAAAAAAGATATCACAAATTAATCTTTTGGTGACTGTCAAGTGAAACAATATACTCATGCAATCTTTATTTTTAGAGATAAGGTCTGTCGCTCAGGTTTGAGTGCAGTAGTGCTGTCCAGGTTCACTGCAGCCTCAATCTCCTGAGCTCAAGTCATCCCCCAACTCCAGCCTCCAGGGCACCTGGAACCATAGGCACAGGCCACCACGCCTGGCTAATTTTTTCTTTTTTGGTGGAGATGAGGTCTGGTTGTGTTACCCAGGCTATCACATAATCTTAAAAAAAAAAAAAATTCCTTTTTTAAAGCGACATAAGATGTATTACTCTTTTGAGAACGGCTACATTATAGGGTCTACATCGCTTTTAATGCATGTTACCTTCCCATTCTAAACCGGGAAGGCGTTCTTCCAGATCATGACAGCTTAGTCACAGCTTCCTCCTTTGGAGGACCAAGACAGGAAGGTGGGCATCCATCCAGCGCTCCGGCCCCAGAATCCTGCTTTAGACTGGGTGGCCACATTTCCGGGCAGGTCCTAGCACAGGAAGCACGTGGCCGGACCAGCGCAGAAGAAATGTCTGTCCGCAGGGACAAGGGGTGGGGCTATGCGGCACAGGATGAATGAGCAATTCAGGGCGCGCGCTCCCGCGCCCCCCGGCGGCGCTGCAGAGGCACGAAATGGCCACGTCTGCAAAGGCGCTGCCCAGGCTGCCCATCCTCCCTTGCCCGCCGGCATCGAGCTCAGCCTAACACCACCACAGCAGTCTGAGCGCAGGAGGGGATTATCGGCAGCCCAGATCTGGGCCAAGATCCGATTTCCGTTCCCTCAAAATCCCTCACTGGCACCACCTGCTCCCCTGAATTCCTAACGCAGCAGGAAGAGACAGGTGGCCTCTAAATGCTGTTGTGAACTAACTGTCCTAATACACTGGTATAGAGCGGTACACTTCCTCACATTCCTCTGACTGCCTTTTTTTTTTTTTTTTTGAGATGGAGTCTGGCTCTGTCGCCCAGGCTGGATTGCAGTGGCACGATCTCTGCTCACTGCAACTTCCACCTCCCAGGTTCAAGCGATTCGCCTGCCTCAGCCTACCGAGTAGCTGGGACTACAGGCGTGCACCACCAAGCCCAGCCAATTTTTGCATTTTTAGTGGAGACAGGCCTTCACCATGTTGGCCAGGCTGATCTCAAACTCCTGACCTCAGGTGGATCCACCGCGCCCGGCCACTCTTACTGCTTCCATTTAAAAAAAAAAAAAAAAAAAGAACTCTTCAGGTCAACAGGAGACACGCCCTGAAGCCCTAGGGGCGCCGCGACCAGCGCGCATGCGCAGATCGCAGTGGCGGTTTCCCGCCCAGGAGCGGCGGGAAGGTAACGGTCGCGCGTGCGCGCTTTTGTCTCCAGCGCCTTCCCACCCCCGCTTTTCACGATCAAGAGGAAGTGAGGGCTAGAAGAGTCCGCGCGCGCGTCCACCGAAGGCGGGGGAAGGGTATGCGCTGGAAAGGACTGCTGGGACTCGAGGTGCCGCGCCCAAGACAGAGTTACGAGCTAAAAGAGAGCTCCGGTTAAGGCGGAGGGCTGAGCCCTCCCATCCCTCCAGAGTCCGAGAAGAAATCCTGGCGCCCCCTCAACCTTTCAGGGCCCCCGCCATCTACAAAGACCGAGGTCTCACGACTCCGGATCTGGCCTCGTCTCGCGTTCCGCCCTCCAAACGGATGGCTCTGGGGCCAGCCGTCCCCGGCCGTATACAGGCCCCCCGCACCCCACCGACTCGCTTATCCCTGCTGCCCTGAAAGCGGCCGGGAGCCGCGCGGCCCACTCACCATAGTGGCTAGGGATTAGGAGGCGAAGGCGACAGGAGCAGACACCGGGTCCCGGTTACCGTCCCCGACAAGCTAAGAGTCGAGGTAAGTAACGCACTGGGGCGGGGCGGGCGCTGGAGCCTCTTAAGTAGTGGCTGCAGAGGGGCGGGCGGGCACAGGCGGTGCCGCGGCCGGGAGCCCCTCCTCCGGCCCGGCGCGCCCACTCGGCGCCCGGCCTGGCCGCCGCAGAGGCGGGCTCCAGTCCCGAGCCCCCTCCCCTCGCGTGGCCGCGGGGCGGGGTCCGCCGCGCCTGCGGGCCGCGCGCGCCAGTGCTGCAGTGTGCGGCGCATGGCTGCGAGAGCCTGGCGGGGGGCGGGCTCGAGTCGGAAAGACACCGACCGGGGAATGGGCTACGAGGCTTGCCTTAATTCAGAGGAAACCTAGGGCTTGGGAGAGCCATACAATTTGAAAGATGAGGCAGAAACTGAAATGGAGAAACTTGTGGTTCGGATAGCTCAGCTGATTAATTCATATTGCCACAGTTTGTGAGTTTTGCCTTTTTATTTTCTCAGTTCGTTCTGTACTTACCTGATAATGTGAAAAACACGAGCTTTAGAAAACCGAATAGGTGTACTTGGTTTACTGTAATGACTTGTTCTTGAAAGTAAGGGTACCGAAAGCTGGAAGCAAATAATATTTCAGTCATTCGAAGAATAGTGCCCAAACATTTAACATTGACGCTGTTAAAAGGGCAGAGTAGGCCCGAATTTTGGATCGAGGCCATCAACTTTATGAAACAGTCCTAGGGGCTTTTTGAAAAGGAGATTTAAAAACACATTTCAGAGGTGATAGCTGAGTTAAGGAAGTGAGAAAAAACTTGGAAAGGGAGGAAATAAATGGACACTGAAGGATGTTAGGAAGTAAGGATTCCTTGTGCAACTTAAGAGTTTCGTAAATAAGACTGCTTGGCCTTGTGTCAAGATACATCAATTGGTTATAGCTTAGTGCTTGGGGGCCCACATTATAGGAGTAGACTAGTTCTCCCTCCGCCCCGCCCCTGAAAAATCTATTTCAAGACCGTAAACCACATTGCTAATCCTTGGAAATGCAGAAGGTGGTTAGGTTTAAAATGTGGCTTTAAAATGGTCCTAGCAGAAACCTATTGATGTTACTATTCAAAATATCTGCCCAGTATATGGGAAACAGAAAGGTAAAACCTAAAACACTAGAAGTTCATAGTTCATCTTCAGTTATTAGCCTATTGAGATTTGGTAAAGCCTTCATCCTTCATTTCAGACAAATAAATTTTTGTGGTTAATAAGTGTGTATTTTGTAATGAGGTGTGTGTGTGTGTCTCCACCCATCTGAACCTGACCTGCAAACCAGGAGGTTCTTGTTTATTTCTGGTAAATATTTTTGGTAGTCTTATTAAAGGCATTTGATTCAAAATCCAAATTTGCACACATTTTTCCAACTGGGTAGAGACGGCAGCAATGTTTGAATATTGAATATTGTTCTCACTTATTTTTTCCTCTTATTCTTTAAAAAAAATTAAGCCAGTCAAATTTAGAAGTGGAGGGTTGTATACCAATTTTAGTGACACTAATGTTAATAAGTTCTGATAACCCACTACCATTGGACCACCCCCAGTGTTACTTATTCTTAAAAGGAGTCTGAAAATAATTAGCTTGCTTTAACTGGAAGAACGAATGTTAGGGAACCACCCTGCTGAACTCCATTTTGCTGTTGGCTCTGGATAAAAGCTATTTTATCCAGAAAAGCTATCTCTGTGCAGAAATTTTGAATAGTTTAGGAACCGAAATAGGTTTCTAGACATTCTGAAGCCACCCTTCTACCCTAACCTCCTTATGTATTTCCAAGGATTAGTGATGTAGTTTATGGTCTTGGAATAGATTTTTCTGGGGGAGGGGAGAACCTCCCTTGTAGCTCTCTGCAGATTATCAGAGTCACCACTGCAGGGATTTGCTCCTGTGGGCCTATATGTCTCCCCAGATACAGTACCTTTCTAAAATTATTAGCATTGTTATCTGTGTATTCCCCTGTAGTGAATGAGGAAGTATTTGAGGGGTTTTTTTGCTTTTGTTTTGTCCTTAATAATACGTCAGGTTTCACAGAATAATCAAACTAAAAGAGAACTTTATTTTTTGACTGAAACTCTGTATCCAGAAAACAAAAACAAACAAACAAAACCGTATATTGTTATTCAATATTTGAACAGCTGAACATTTTGTTGTCTTAGGAGTTTGTCCTTGCCGGCATTATTAAACTGCTTCCTTAGCTGTGAGCACCGTATGACTGTGGGTTGTGTCTAGAAAGGAATATGCTTTGCTAGTTTTAATATGGAATTGATTTTGAAATTGTGTTACCCAAGCTCTTTTTTTTTTGATATGGAGTCTCACTCTGTCGCCAGGCTGAAGTGCAGTGGTGTGATCTCGGCTCACTGCAACCTCCGCCTCTTGGGTTCAAGCGATTCTCCTGCCTCAGCCTCCCAAATAGCTGGGACTACAGGCATGTGCCACCATGCCCAGCTAATTTTTGTATTTTTAGTAGAGAAAGGGTTTCACCATGTTGGCCAGGATGATCTCGAGCTCTTGACTTTGTGATCTGCCTGCCTTGGCGTCCCAAAGTGCTGGAATTACAGGCATGAGCCATGGTGCCTGGCTTTTTTTTTTTTTCCTTTGAGACAGAGTTTCACTCTTGTTGCCCAGGTTGGAGTGCAGTGGAGTGATCTCGGCTCACTGTAACCTCCACCTCCTGGGTTCAAGCCATTCTCATGCCTCAGCCTCCCAAGTAACAGGGATTACAGGCACCTGCTACCATGCCAGCAAATTTTTGTATTTTTAGCAGAGAGGGGGTTTCTCCATGTTGGCCAGGCTAGTCTTGAACTCAAGTGATCCTCCCGCCTCGGCCTCCCAGAGTGCTGGGGTTACAGGCATGAGCCACCGTGCCTGGCCAAGTTGCCCTAGCTCTTATGTTCCTGTTTCCCTAACATAATACCTCCTCTACTTATGAGAGAACTCCTAATCTTAAGGGGAGAGGAAGGTCATTTTTTGTAACTTCTTCCTGCCAAGAGTGGACCTTGATCTTTGGGATAGGATTCTCTCATAAGGATTTGCAGTCAGCTTCATGATGTTCTGATGGTTCTTTTCTTTGTTATTTTTTTTTTTTTTTTGACAAAGTTTTGCCCTGTTGCCAGGCTAGAGTGCAGTGGCATGATCTCAGCTCACTGCAGCCTCCACCTCCTTGCAACCTCCACCTCCCAGTTTCAAGGGATTTTCCTGCCTCACCCTCCTGAGCAGCTGAGACTACAGGTACACACCGCCATGCCCAGCTAATTTTTTTTTTTTTTGAGACGGAGTCTTGCTCTGTCACCAGGCTGGAGTACAGTGGCAAAATCTCAGTTCACTGCAACCTCCGCCTCCTGAGTTCAAGTGATTCTTCTGCCTTAGCCTCCCAAGTAGCTGGGACTACAGGCATGTGCCACCACACCCGGATAATTTTTGTATTTTTAGTAGAGACGGGGTTTCACCATGTTGGCCGGGATGGTCTCGATCTCTTGACCTCGTGATCAGCCCACCTCGGCCTCCCAAAGTGCTGGGATTACAGGCATGAGCCACCACGCCTGTCCTAATTTTTGTATTTTTAGTAGAGACAGGGTTTCACCATGTTGGCTGGGATGGTCTTGATCTCTTGACCTCGTGATCCACCTACCTCAGCCTCCCAAAGTGCTAGGATTACAGGTGTGAGCCACCATACCTGGTGATGTTCTGATGATTCTGCCCAGTATTGGAGGAGTAAAAATCTCTGGATGCCTGATCTATGGTACCTGAAGGCAGGATGTCTTTATTTCTCACGTCAGAAGATGGTATGGGTTGGAAGCCTTGTGCCAGCATAACCTTTATGTGGGATTGTTGTAATCTAGTAGAAACAAACTTCACCAAGATGTTAAACAAGCAAGGGCCAAAGATTAGTAATAACAAGATAGCGATCAAAGGTCCTAGGAAGAGGACAAACCAATTGAGACTCAGGAGGGTGCTTTTTTTCCCTTTTTCTGTTTTTCTGTTTCCCCAGGTGGGGTCTTGCTATATTGCCCAGGCTTGACTGAACTCCTGGTCTCAAGCAATTCTCCTGCCTTGGCCTCCCAAAGTGCTGAGATTACAGGCCTGAGCTACTGAGCCTTGTCTAACCTCTAAATCTCTACTTCTATGGGAGTTTTTTTTTTTTTTTTTTTGGGAGACAGTGTCTCACTCTGTGGCCTACGCTGGAGATGGAGAGCAGTGGTATGATCCCGGCTCACTGCAGCCTTGACCTCCTGGCTGAAGCTATCCTCCTACCTCAGCCTCCCAAGTAGATTGGACTACAGGTGCCCATCTAATTTTTGTATTTTTGTAGATGACAGTCATGTTTCCCAGGCTGGTCTCGAACTCTCCTTGCAGGCATTATTAAGCTGCTTCCTGCCGGGCACAGTGGCTCACACTTGTAATCCCAGCACTTCTGGAGGCCAAGGCAGATGGATCACCCGAGGTCAGGAGTTCAAGACCAGCCTGGCCAACATGGTGAAACCCTGTCTCTACTGAAAATACAGAAATTAGTCAGGTGTGGTGGCAGGCACCTATAATCCCAGCTACTCAGGAGGCTGAGGCAGGAGAATCACTTGAGCCTGGGAGGCAGAGGTTGCAGTGAGCCGAGATCGCACCACTGTATTCCAGCCTGGGTGACAAGAGCGAAACTCTGTCTGAAAAAAAAAAAAAAGCTACTTCCTTAGCTGTAAACATCTTTTGACCATGGATGATGGTTGACAAGCAATGTACCTTGCTAGTTTTAAGACGGAATTGATTTTAAAATTGTGTCATCCTGGATCCCCTATACTTCTTTTTCTCTAACTTTTTTTTTTTTCTCTCTGAAACAGGGTCTTACTCTGTTGCCCAGGCTGGAGTGAGTGTAGCAGTGGGATCTCAACTCACTACAGCTCCACCTCCCGAACTTAAGGGGTCTTCCCATCTCAGCCTCCTAAGTAGCTGGGACCATAGGCATTGCCACCATACCTGGCTAGTTTATTTTTATTTTTTTTGTAGTGATGGGGTTTCTCCATGTTGCCCATGGACTCAAACTCCTGGACTCAAGCAATCCACCTGCCTTGGCCTCTCAAAGTGCTGGGATTATAGGTGTGAGCCACCACACCCAACTGTAACACATCTTTATGCCAGAAATATTGAATAATGATAACTTTATTTTGCCTTTTCTTTTCTTTTCTTTTCTTTTTTTTTTTTTCAGACAGAGTCTTGCTGTGCTGCCCAGGCCGGAGTACAGTGCCACAATTTCAGTTCACTGAAACCTCTGCCTCCTAAGTTCAAACAATTCTTGTGCCTCAGCCTCCCAAGTAGCTGGGATTACGGGCATGCGCCGCAACACCTGGCTAATTTTTATATCTTTAGTAGAAATGGGGTTTTGCCATGTTGTCCAGGCTAGTCTTAAACTCCTGCCTCAAGTGATTTGCCCGCCTTGGCCTCCCAAAGTGCTAAGA